AGAAAGAAAGAAAGAAAGAAAGAAAGAAAGAAAGAAAGAAAGAAAGAAAGAAAGAAAAAGAAAGAAAGAGAAAAGGCTGACAATTTTGTCCCTTGATGACTAAGCTATTTCGATTCAAAGCCCTCCGAATGTTCTTCCTTCTGTTGTATATGCTCCTTGTCTGCAAGATTGCAGGCTCCCTTTTTCCTTTGGCAAACTTCAAGCCTTCTTCTCTGACCCCTGGTCTAAAAATTGTAGAGATATCCAGAGAGCTGCTGCCAGTCAAAGTCATCCATGCTGGCTACATGACCTGTACAGCTGATCAGATCTCAGATAGGTTCCCACGTTGGGTGTGATGCAGTCTGTGGGATTTAACTTCTAGGCAGGTAGGAGGAAAGGCATGGAGATGCTCTAAATCCAAAGCCTGAACTACAAGAGATGGTCAATGGAACTATCTTGCCAGAATAAGAGACAATTGTGTGCCTTACTTATAGACAAACTTTTGCTCATGAGCAGAAGAGATGTTCCACCAGCTCAAGCATGTGGGCACATGGGCAGCTAAGGGCCCATCACTCTTCTTGGCACATCCTTCCCTTCCAGGTCTTGGGGGCAATTCTGATGGTGGCGTCTACTCTTTCACTGTACAAATCTCACTGCGCACTTCTTTGGAGTCATCAGGGAAACAGGTCATAGAGTCAGGAGCCATGAGAGATGGTCACTGGCGCCTGTTTGGCACAGCCCCTAGCAAATGCCTCACACTAAGCCATAGGCATCACTCCAGAGTGAGCCAGGAACGAGGGGAGAAGCCAAAATCAAGTCCGAACAGCAAAACAGGAGGGTGGGAAGAGCGGTCCAGAGCACAAGGCCAAAGACCAACTGAGGACTGGAACAATTCTGGAGATCAGGAGCCCTTTGTGTTCAAGTCCAGCCAAACTGGGACACAAAACATTCTTCACAAAGGAAATAATGGTGCTTTCCAGCAGCTGCTGATTCTCCGTTTTCTGAACCAAAGCAGAAAACAGCAAAGCAGCAAAGACTTGAATGGCAAGTGGGGCACACATTTATTGATGGCACCATTCATTTTTGCCCCAATGAAATGAGGAACCCAGCTGTGTCGGCTCTCCTCTCACAACCAAAGTCCATTGCCCGAGCCCTCCCCCTGCGTCCCTCCCTATTACTGCTGGAAGCGAAGCACCACAGATTATTCTGTATTCATTGACCTGGCATTGGTCTGCCTTCGATGTGCTGAAAAGCTAAGTCGGTCATCACATTCATTCTTGATTTTTTTTTTCATCTGGGTGGAAAGAAATGTTCTTAAAAACGGAGTGACCAACTCTCTCCAAACGAAACAGCTCTGCTCACACGACACAACGAACCACAAATGAACCTTGGCCTGTCATGTTTCAGCCAGACGCAGAGGGAAAACCCAGCCTGTGTGATTAGTTTATGGTTCACTGTGGTGTACAAACCCAAAGAATTGGGTTAATGGAGTAAACCATGGTCAGTTAATCCCAGTTCAGTGACTCAGAGACTGGCAGAACATAAAAATAAATTCATTTTCTATCGTTCCCTTAATTTGTTGTTTTTAGGGGGGGGTTGCTTCTGTTTCTCCTTTGGGCCATGAAAAGAGTGATGCTCATTTTTGCACTCCTTTAGTGCTTGCATGCGTTGGACAAAGAAAGCCACGTCCTGTACTGAGGTAATACATGGCTGAAGGATTTTAAAAATCCATTCGATAAGATTTAATGCCTGAAACAGTCCCTTTTTTTTTTTTCTTCCTGTCCTTCCATCAGCCTTACAAAATGGTTCAACTAGCCCGCAGAGAAGCAAGCGCGCAAGATGGTTCCATGGGGAAACATCACCGTCGATATCTGCCAACCTTTCAACGGAGCTCGAGTGAAAACATCATAACCTATATGTTGATTTTCAGCTCAATTAATCTGGACATTAGGAGACGGGGAAACCGAGAAGCAGAAATGCCCTTTAGCGAAATGTTTCAATTTCATATCATTTCTCCCAGGCTCATCTTGAAACTCTGGATTTAATAACAGCTTCTGTGTTCTGAGGAAGTCACCACCAGCACAGCAACACCTCCCCCTCCTCACTTCCAGCATCTCTGTAACCACCGTCTCCATTACACAATGCCACCAAAGCCCCCTCTGTGGTGGGAAGAGGAGGAGGAAAAAGGAGAGCTTTCTTCCGCCCAAACACTGGCGCATTGTGCACGCCACATTCCTCACTTTATGCTTGCAAACGGAATCTGTCTGCATGAAATCTCTCGCAGGGGCCAAAACTCTCAAGAACTCTGAAGAGGCGTTGGGTAAAATGTCAAAATGCCAAGCGCATCTGGCCCGCATCGCAGCGCCTTCACAAGACCATCCCTTCCCTTCCAAGCTGGACGCATCGCAGGCCACATCAGGCTTCCTGGATCAATAGACTGGACATCCAGAAATGCAGGGTTTCATTTGAATTTTACAAAAGGAGACCAAAAATCCATCGATTGCTGTATTATTACACCTTGCCCAGATTGGGGAAGCAGGGAGGGGAGAATATCACCCAAAAGGACACCCCTAAAAACAAAATGGGCAAGTGAACTCCATTCATCCCTGACATGATTGCACGTGTGCAATTCACAGCCACAAAACTGAGCAATCTGTGGGTCATTGCTGCATTTGGGACCCTGCATTCCTCCCAGAATTGGCAGGCAAAGGCTTGGATGACAAGAGCAAGTAATGTGGCCCATCACAAAGTCCAGAACTACAATTCCCAACAGCCCCGGCTAGCCAAAGACAAGGAACCAAGCAGGCGGTGGGCGAGAGTTTAAAGGTGTTCTCCTTACTTGTCGCAGGACGAAGAGATGGAGTCCTCAGGATGACACCCACAAGCAAGGCAATGTTTGTGGGGTTGACTGAGATAATAGCCTTCTTCGCATCTGTCACACGAGGGGCCCACGTAACCTGGGTGGCATTGACAGTGACCCGTGGCGTTGCACTCGCTCAGACTTGTGCTTCCAATAGAGCTGCAGTTACAGAAGAAGTCTGCAAGAGGAGTTAAAAGCAAGAGAAAAGGGAGCCTGAAATTAATTACAGGCGGATAGTAAAAAGGGGAATCATATTTCCTTTTTTTTCCCCCTTCAGTTGAGTAATGGTAGACAACACGCTCTGCTCAGACATAAATTTGAATTGTGTAGAAAGATCCTGTTCAGAAAGCCAATTCGAAGAATGGCGATTTGATCAAATCTCCAATTGGAAGTCTGGATCCAATTAGCGAGTTTACTTAAATCATCACACTGAGTACCACCCAATCCGTTTGGAGGAGTGAAATGTTTGTGGCCTGCAGAATTATTTCCCTAATATTGGGAAAAGTTGGAAGAAAAATAAAGGGAAGGCGGGGGGGACTGCCCTTCCTAAAAATATCCCACAGTTCTGCAAGAAGGGAGCATACCCAGTGGCGACGTATTGCTGAATTTCTTCCTTGGTGGGGAGGAAAGAAAACCAGATTTGAAGTGAAATATCCCAAATATCTATCAGATACATTTTATGCATGTAATGTGTTATATATGCATTTTTATATCTGCAAATTATAACTACGCTATTCCTGCTTTGCCACCCATGGCTTCATTTCATTTTCCCTCAGCAGAGGTTATTCACCGGTCCATAATCTCATAATAGTGGTTTGCATCTTAGTTGCAAGAGTCAGAGACAGAAAAAAGGAAAAATTGAAAACTGACCAGATATATATATATATATTTAATTGGGACTTATGGATGAACAATTAGAAAAGACTCATGGAAAGTTGGTTTTGTATATGGTAACCGCAACAAGGCTATTATATGCAGAATGTTGGAGAAATACTAAAATACCTACAATAGAGGAATGGATTGTGAAGATGGCAGAAATCCGGTGTTCCCAAAATGTGCAAATCAACCAGAACCTTGGTCCTTCATGTTTCTGCCCCACCCGCAGCTCTCATGCAGGCCAGGTTGCAATCCAGTTAAGCCCAAAAACGGTTTGGGCCAAGCATATGGCTTGTATTGGTCTATGACTATAATAAAGATGTGATGTGATGTGGTGTGGTGTGGTGTGGTGTGTGGTGTGGTGTGGTGTGGTGTGGTGTGGTGTGGTGTGGTGTGATGTGATGTGATGTGATGTGATGTGATGTGATGTGATGTGATGTGATGTGATGTGATGTGATGTGATG